TATATGTTTTACCTAGTAGCCAGAATGCAGTTCTTGGCCTACTATGCAAGGCCCCGATTTGCCTAATAAGCCAAGTTTTCCAGAATTTCAGTAATAAATTATTGAAACACAACAGGAGTATAATCTATACACTCACTTTTGTCTTTTGCTTAAGAATGCAATAAAACCATTTATTAGGCAGCGAGATCTACACACACATTAATAAGGACTGTATAACCTAACCTACACCAGGGGGGGGGTGTAGGGAGGCATCTTGGGTCCTGAGCATCACCTGGTGCTCAGGTAGACGCAGCATCTTGGATCCTGAGCATCACCTGGTGCTCAGGTCGACCCAGCATCTTGGATCCTGAGCATCACCTGGTGCTCAGGTCGACCCAGCATCTTGGGTCCTGAGCATCACCTGGTGCTCAGGTCGACCCAGCATCTTGGGTCCTGAGCATCACCTGGTGCTCAGGTCGACCCAGCATCTTGGATCCTGAGCATCACCTGGTGCTCAGGTCGACCCAGCATCTTGGGTCCTGAGCATCACCTGGTGCTCAGGTCGACCCAGCATCTTGGGTCCTGAGCATCACCTAGTGCTCAGGTAGACCCAGCATCTTGGGTCCTGAGCATCACCTAGTGCTCAGGTAGACCCAGCATCTTGGGTCCTGAGCATCACCTAGTGCTCAGGTCGACCCAGCATCTTGGGTCCTGAGCATCACCTAGTGCTCAGGTCGACCCAGCATCTTGGGTCCTGAGCATCACCTGGTGCTCAGGTCGACCCAGCATCTTGGGTCCTGAGCATCACCTAGTGCTCAGGTCGACCCAGCATCTTGGATCCTGAGCATCACCTGGTGCTCAGGTCGACCCAGCATCTTGGATCCTGAGCATCACCTAGTGCTCAGGTCGACCCAGCATCTTGGATCCTGAGCATCACCTGGTGCTCAGGTCGACCCAGCATCTTGGGTCCTGAGCATCACCTGGTGCTCAGGTCGACCCAGCATCTTGGATCCTGAACATCACCTAGTGCTCAGGTCGACCCAGCATCTTGGATCCTGAGCATCACCTGGTGCTCAGGTCGACCCAGCATCTTGGGTCCTGAGCATCACCTGGTGCTCAGGTCGACCCAGCATCTTGGATCCTGAGCATCACCTAGTGCTCAGGTCGACCCAGCATCTTGGATCCTGAGCATCACCTAGTGCTCAGGTCGACCCAGCATCTTGGATCCTGAGCATCACCTGGTGCTCAGGTCGACCCAGCATCTTGGGTCCTGAGCATCACCTGGTGCTCAGGTCGACCCAGCATCTTGGATCCTGAGCATCACCTAGTGCTCAGGTCGACCCAGCATCTTGGATCCTGAGCATCACCTGGTGCTCAGGTCGACCCAGCATCTTGGGTCCTGAGCATCACCTGGTGCTCAGGTCGACCCAGCATCTTGGGTCCTGAGCATCACCTGGTGCTCAGGTCGACCCAGCATCTTGGATCCTGAGCATCACCTAGTGCTCAGGTCGACCCAGCATCTTGGATCCTGAGCATCACCTGGTGCTCAGGTCGACCCAGCATCTTGGGTCCTGAGCATCACCTGGTGCTCAGGTCGACCCAGCATCTTGGATCCTGAGCATCACCTGGTGCTCAGGTCGACCCAGCATCTTGGGTCCTGAGCATCACCTGGTGCTCAGGTCGACCCAGCATCTTGGATCCTGAGCATCACCTGGTGCTCAGGTCGACCCAGCATCTTGGGTCCTGAGCATCACCTAGTGCTCAGGTCGACCCAGCATCTTGGATCCTGAGCATCACCTGGTGCTCAGGTAGACGCAGCATCTTGGGTCCTGAGCATCACCTAGTGCTCAGGTCGACCCATCATCTTGGGTCCTGAGCATCACCTGGTGCTCAGGTAGACGCAGCATCTTGGATCCTGAGCATCACCTGGTGCTCAGGTCGACCCAGCATCTTGGGTCCTGAGCATCACCTGGTGCTCAGGTCGACCCAGCATCTTGGGTCCTGAGCATCACCTGGTGCTCAGGTCGACGCAGCATCTTGGGTCCTGAGCATCACCTGGTGCTCAGGTCGACGCAGCATCTTGGATCCTGAGCATCACCTGGTGCTCAGGTCGACCCAGCATCTTGGGTCCTGAGCATCACCTGGTGCTCAGGTCGACCCAGCATCTTGGATCCTGAGCATCACCTAGTGCTCAGGTCGACCCAGCATCTTGGATCCTGAGCATCACCTAGTGCTCAGGTCGACCCAGCATCTTGGATCCTGAGCATCACCTGGTGCTCAGGTCGACCCAGCATCTTGGGTCCTGAGCATCACCTGGTGCTCAGGTCGACCCAGCATCTTGGATCCTGAGCATCACCTAGTGCTCAGGTCGACCCAGCATCTTGGATCCTGAGCATCACCTGGTGCTCAGGTCGACCCAGCATCTTGGATCCTGAGCATCACCTGGTGCTCAGGTCGACCCAGCATCTTGGGTCCTGAGCATCACCTGGTGCTCAGGTCGACCCAGCATCTTGGATCCTGAGCATCACCTGGTGCTCAGGTAAACGCAGCATCTTGGGTCCTGAGCATCACCTAGTGCTCAGGTCGACCCAGCATCTTGGGTCCTGAGCATCACCTAGTGCTCAGGTCGACCCAGCATCTTGGATCCTGAGCATCACCTGGTGCTCAGGTCGACCCAGCATCTTGGATCCTGAGCATCACCTGGTGCTCAGGTAGACGCAGCATCTTGGATCCTGAGCATCACCTGGTGCTCAGGTAGACGCAGCATCTTGGGTCCTGAGCATCACCTGGTGCTCAGGTCGACGCAGCATCTTGGGTCCTGAGCATCACCTGGTGCTCAGGTCGACGCAGCATCCATAAATCAAAGACTGACGATCGATCACATCTCCATGAGAGATGCTCGGTGGAAGGGACAGAGGAGGAGGAGGAGGAGCACGGGCGCTCCTGGAGGCGCGGTTGTGGCCCTTGTGGACGGGGTCACTAAGGGTCACTACGGGAGGGGGCGGGGCAGCCAGGCCGCCCCTTCACCACCCCGGCAATGTCAAACGGATCTAGTTATGGATATTGTGTTTTGTCTTTTTTTGTTACGTGTGGGAAGATTATGATCATGGCAGCTGTTGTGGTTGTCAACCAACCACCACCTCTCACATGTGGTGGTGGTTGGTTGTTGTGGTGTCTGGAAGGGACTGGAAGAGGTAAACACTTAAGGAGTTAATTCAGCCAGGTTCAGACTAGGTTTAGGCAACATTGAGGCCAGGTTCAGGCAACATTCAGGACAGGTTCAGGCAACATTCAGGCCAGGTTCAGGCAACATTCAGGCCAGGTTCAGGCAACATTCAGGCCAGGTTCAGGCCAGGTTCAGGCTAGGTTCAGGCAACATTCAGGCCAGGTTCAGGCAACATTCAGGCAACATTCAGGCCAGGTTCAGGCCAGGTTCAGGCAACATTCAGGCCAGGTTCAGGCGTGGGTCGAGAGGAAACTTCGACCAACTCGAAGCTCCTTAACTGGCCGCCTCTGTTCACCCAGCAGTAATTAACATACCTGGTTGTAAACGGACTGACGGGTCGTGTTCCAGGGAAAATTGAGCGGGGTAAGGCTTACCATGAACTCTTGGACAGGAAAGATCTTAGCCTGCTAAGACCAGAGACCATCTACTCCTCTACCAACTTGTCAATTAGAAAAAAAATATAAGAATTTTAATATTATGGGTTACATCAGCTGATGTAATATAATTCATATAACATAATATTATATTCTTACAATTATTTAACAAAAAGATATATGTATTATTGACGAATTGATCACTTAAGTGACTATATATTAAATTAGTTTATATTAGATAAAGTTGAGTGGTTTAAGTGTACAAAAACTTGATCTTCGTGGCAGCGCCGCGTGAGACCTCGGGCAACATGGAGGCAAAAACACACACAATAAAGTTTTATTATCGATTTACTGATTATTAATTAAGATCTTGAGAGATTGTTCTGGGAGCTTTGATAGAGGCTTGAAGAATCTTATTGTTATTGTTGTTGTTGTTGTCGTTAGTTACCGCTTTGTGTCTCACCTCTCACTTCTGTTGTCTCTCACCTGTGTCGTGTCTCACCTCTCACCTGTGTCGTCCCTCACCTCTCACTTGTGTTGTCTCTCACCTCTCACCTGGGTCACCCCTCACCTCTCACCTGGGTCATCCCTCACTTCTCACCTGTGTCACCCCTCACCTCTCACCTGTCACCCCTCACCTCTCACCTGTGTCTCCCCTCACCTCTCACCTGGGTCACCCCTCACCTCTCACCTGTCACCCCTCACCTGGGTCACCCCTCACCTCTCACCTGGGTCACCCCTCACCTGGGTCACCCCTCACCTCTCACCTGGGTCACCCCTCACCTCTCACCTGGGTCACCTCTCACCTCTCACCTGGGTCACCCCTCACCTATCACCTGGGTCACCTCTCACCTGTGTCTCCACTCACCTCTCACCTGGGTCACCCCTCACCTCTCACCTGTGTCACCTCTCACCTGGGTCTCCCCTCACCTCTCACCTGGGTCACCCCTCACCTCTCACCTGTCTCTCCCCTCACCTCTCACCTGTGTCACCCCCCTCACCTCTCACCTGGGTCACCCCCTCACCTCTCACCTGTGTCTCCCCTCACCTCTCACCTGGGTCACCCCTCACCTCTCACCTGGGTCACCCCTCACCTCTCACCTGTGTCTCCCCTCACTTCTCACGGACGAAGATATTTCTCAAATTCATTTAAACCCTTAAAAAAAATATTGACGCTAAACAGAATTAATCACTATACTACACAATCGAACAATCCTTCACAAATGACATTATTCAGGTGATTACAATTAATCACCTGGATTCTAAAAAAATCGTTATCGATTACTCGGCGTTAATTTGTGGATTTAATTCAGATTCTGTACACGACTTTGAGCCGTAACTTAAAGCCTCGTCATATGTCTCTTAGACTTGTCATTAGTAATTGGCGGGTTAATTGAAATTGTTGCTGATTGGTGGCGAAGATTGACGGTTTATGGGACGATGTTGGAGTTGTGGACCACGTGGGTGCTGCTATTGTTGCTACAGTAGCTGCTATTGTTGCTACAGTAGCTGCTATTGTTGCTACAGTTGCTGCTATTGTTGCTACAGTAGCTGCTATTGTTGCTACAGTTGCTGCTATTGTTGCTACAGTAGCTGCTATTGTTGCTACAGTTGCTGCTATTGTTGCTACAGTAGCTGCTATTGTTGCTACAGTAGCTGCTATTGTTGCTACAGTAGCTGCTATTGTTGCTACAGTAGCTGCTATTGTTGCTACAGTAGCTGCTATTATTGCTACAGTAGCTGCTATTGTTGCTACAGTTGCTGCTATTGTTGCTACAGTAGCTGCTATTGTTGCTACAGTTGCTGCTATTGTTGCTACAGTAGCTGCTAGTGTTGCTACAGTAGCTGCTATTGTTGCTACAGTAGCTGCTATTGTTGCTACAGTTGCTGTTATTGTTGCTACAGATGCTGCTATTGTTGCTATAGTAGCTGCTATTGTTGCTACAGTAGCTGCTATTGTTGCTACAGTAGCTGCTATTGTTGCTACAGTTGCTGCTATTGTTGCTACAGTAGCTGCTATTGTTGCTACAGTAGCTGCTATTGTTGCTACAGTAGCTGCTATTGTTGCTACAGTAGCTGCTATTGTTGCTACAGTAGCTGCTATTGTTGCTACAGTTGCTGCTATTGTTGCTACAGTAGCTGCTATTGTTGCTACAGTAGCTGCTATTGTTGCTACAGTTGCTGCTATTGTTGCTACAGTAGCTGCTATTGTTGCTACAGTTGCTGCTATTGTTGCTACAGTTGCTGCTATTGTTGCTACAGTAGCTGCTATTGTTGCTACAGTAGCTGCTATTGTTGCTACAGTAGCTGCTATTATTGCTACAGTAGCTGCTATTGTTGCTACAGTAGCTGCTATTGTTGCTACAGTAGCTCCTATTGTTGCTACAGTAGCTGCTATTGTTGCTACAGTTGCTGCTATTGTTGCTACAGTAGCTGCTATTGTTGCTACAGTAGCTGCTATTGTTGCTACAGTAGCTGCTATTGTTGCTACAGTTGCTGTTATTGTTGCTACAGTAGCTGCTATTGTTGCTACAGTTGCTGCTATTGTTGCTACAGTAGCTGCTATTGTTGCTACAGTAGCTGCTATTGTTGCTACAGTAGCTGCTATTGTTGCTACAGTAGCTGCTATTGTTGCTACAGTTGCTGCTATTGTTACTACAGTAGCCGCTATTGTTGCTACAGTAGCTGCTATTGTTGCTACAGTAGCTGCTATTATTGCTACAGTTGCTGCTATTGTTGCTACAACTGTTGCTGCTATTGTTGCTACAGTAGCTGCTATTGTTGCTACAGAAGCTGCTGTTGTTGCTACAGTAGCCGCTATTGTTGCTACAGTAGCTGCTATTGTTGCTACAGTGGCCACTATTGTTGCTACAGAAGCTGCTATTGTTGCTACAGTAGCTGCTATTGTTGCTACAGTGGCCACTATTGTTGCTACAGAAGCTGCTATTGTTGCTACAGTAGCTACTATTGTTGCTACAGTAGCCGCTATTGTTGCTACAGTAGCTACTATTGTTGCTACAGTAGCCGCTGCCTAGAGTGAGGCGGGCCAGGCTGGTGCCCTCACATCACCTACAATGTGAGGTTGGTCTTGACCTTCCTGTACCCGTTGCTGCCTCGTAGGTTACAGCTTTTTAGGGCTTTTTTCCCAAATGTTCTACTGTAGTCTTTGTATTCTGTCCTGCTACACTATATGGGGGATACATGACGCTGGTCTTATAGCAGTCAGGTTGGCAGTCTTCTAAATGTGGGAGCTCCACATTTGTCCATTGTAGCATTAGAGACTTAGTTGGGGCTGTGTGTGTGTGTGTGTGTGTGTGTGTGTGTGTGTGTGTGTGTGTGTGTGGTCCTTCGAGGTAACCTTCAGGAGCCACGAAGACACCTGGGACATCTGGGGACATCTGGGGACACCTGGGACACCTGGGGATACCTGGGGACACCTGGGGACACCTGGGGACATACTTGTTTGGAGGGACAGAGGTGAGGGGAAGGTAGAGGTGAGGGGAAGGTAGAGGTGAGGGGAAGGTGGAGGTGAGGGGAAGGTGGAGGTGAGGAGAAGGTAGAGGTGAGGGGAAGGTGGAGGTGAGGGGAAGGTAGAGGTGAGGGGAAGGTAGAGGTGAGGGGAAGGTGGAGGTGAGGAGAAGGTAGAGGTGAGGGGAAGGTAGAGGTGAGGGGAAGGTAGAGGTGAGGGGAAGGTAGAGGTGAGGGGAAGGTGGAGGTGAGGGGAAGGTGGAGGTGAGGGGAAGGTAGAGGTGAGGGGAAGGTGGAGGTGAGGGGAAGGTGGAGGTGAGGGGAAGGTAGAGGTGAGGGGAAGGTGGAGGTGAGGGGAAGGTGGAGGTGAGGGGAAGGTAGAGGTGAGGGGAAGGTAGAGGTGAGGGGAAGGTGGAGGTGAGGGGAAGGTAGAGGTGAGGGGAAGGTGGAGGTGAGGGGAAGGTAGAGGTGAGGGGAAGGTGGAGGTGAGGGGAAGGTGGAGGTGAGGGGAAGGCGGAGGTGAGGGGAAGGTGGAGGTGAGGGGAAGGTAGAGGTGAGGGGAAGGTAGAGGTGAGGGGAAGGTAGAGGTGAGGGGAAGGTGGAGGTGAGGCGAAGGTAGAAGTGAAGGGAAGGTAGAGGTGAGGGGAAGGTAGAGGTGAGGGGAAGGTAGAGGTGAGGGGAAGGTAGAGGTGAGGGGAAGGTGGAGGTGAGGCGAAGGTAGAAGTGAAGGGAAGGTAGAGGTGAGGGGGAGGTGAGGGGAAGGTAGAGGTGAGGGGAAGGTAGAGGTGAGGGGAAGGTAGAGGTGAGGGGAAGGTGGAGGTGAGGCGAAGGTAGAAGTGAAGGGAAGGTAGAGGTGAGGGGAAGGTGGAGGTGAGGGGAAGGTAGAGGTGAGGGGAAGGTAGAGGTGAGGGGAAGGTAGGGGTGAGGGGGGAAGGTAGAGGTGAGGGGAAGGTAGAGGGGAGGGGGGAAGGTAGGGGTGAGGGGGGAAGGTAGGGGTGAGGGGGGAAGGTAGAGGTGAGGGGAAGGTAGAGGTGAGGGGGGAAGGTAGGGGTGAGGGGGGAAGGTAGGGGTGAGGGGGGAAGGTAGAGGTGAGGGGAAGGTAGAGGGGAGGGGGGAAGGTAGAGGGGAGGGGAAGGTAGAGGTGAGGGGAAGGTAGAGGTGAGGGGAAGGTAGAGGGGAGGGGAAGGTAGAGGTGAGGGGAAGGTAGAGGTGAGGGGAAGGTAGAGGTGAGGGGGGAAGGTAGAGGTGAGGGGAAGGTAGAGGGGAGTACACAAGTGGGAGGATAAAGGGTACAGTCTGGAGCAACAGGTAGACAGGTTGTGGAGATAAGGAGGAGTCAGCCTCAGGGGAATATGGTGACAGATAGGAAGGAGAGGTGGGGAGGGGGGAGGGAAGGGGTGTAGAAGAGTTGGGGAGAGAAGTGAGGGGTGAGGGAGGGGACGGCCCATCACGGGGCTCTAACAGTGACAGATGGAGCCTCTTGGCCGGTACCTCATCGACACTTACCATGCCACTACCCTGCACGCAATAAATAACAACAAGACCCGATTGATGCCTTTCTCCCGGGGGAGGTGGGGGGGGGGGGGAGACCTGCTCCCCCTACCATGGGGGGGGGGAGACCTGCTCCCCTACCATGGGGGGGGGGGGAAGTAGACACCTCCCCCTACCATGGGGGGGGGAAGTAGACACCTCCCCCTACCATGGGGGGGGGGAAGTAGACACCTCCCCCTACCATGGGGGGGGGGGGGAAGTAGACACCTCCCCCTACCATGGGGGGGGGGAAGTAGACACCTCCCCCAACCATGGGGGGGGGAAGTAGACACCTCCCCCTACCATGGGGGGGGAGTGGACACCCCCTCCCCCTGCCATGGGGGGGGGAAGTAGACACCCCCCCTACCATGGGGGGGAAGTAGACACCTCCCCCTACCATGGGGGGGGGGGAGTAGACACCTCCCCCTACCATGGGGGGGGAAGTAGACACCTCCCCCTACCATGGGGGGGAAGTAGACACCTCCCCCTACCATGGGGGGGGGAAGTAGACACCTCCCCCTACCATGGGGGGGGAAGTAGACACCTCCCCCTACCATGGGGGGGGAAGTAGACACCCCCCCTACCATGGGGGGGGGGGGAAGTAGACACCTCCCCCTACCATGAGGGGGGGGGGAAGAAGACAACTCCCCCAACCATGGGGGGGGAAGTAGACACCTCCCCCTACCATGTGGGGGGGGAAGTAGACACCTCCCCCTACCATGGGGGGGGAAGTAGACACCTCCCCTACCATGGGGGGAAAGTAGACACCTCCCCCTACCATGGGGGGGGGGGGAAGTAGACACCTCCCCCTACCATGGGGGGGGGGAAGTAGACACCTCCCCTACCATGGGGGGGGGAAGTAGACACCTCCCCCTACCATGGGGGGGGGAAGTAGACACCTCCCCCTACCATGGGGGGGGGAAGTAGACACCTCCCCCTACCATGGGGGGGGGGGAAGTAGACACCTCCCCTACCATGGGGGGGGGGAAGTAGACACCTCCCCCTACCATGGGGGGGGAAGTAGACACCTCCCCCTACCATGGGGGGGGGGAAGTAGACACCTCCCCCTACCATGGGGGGGGGGAAGTAGACACCTCCCCCTACCATGGGGGGGGAAGTAGACACCTCCCCCTACCATGGGGGGGGGGGGACACCTCCCCCTACCATGGGGGGGGGAAGTAGACACCTCCCCCTACCATGGGGGGGGGGAAGTAGACACCTCCCCCTACCATGGGGGGGGAAGTAGACACCTCCCCCTACTATGGGGGGGGGAAGTAGACACCTCCCCCTACCATGGGGGGGGGAGTAGACACCTCCCCCTACCATGGGGGGGGAAGTAGACACCTCCCCCTACCATGGGGGGGGGGAGTGGACACCCCCTCCCCCTGCCATGGGGGGGGGAGTGGACACCCCCTCCCCCTGCCATGGGGGGGGGGAAGTAGACACCTCCCCCTACCATGGGGGGGGGGAGTGGACACCCCCTCCCCCTGCCATGGGGGGGGGAGTGGACACCCCCTCCCCCTGCCATGGGGGGGGAGTGGACACCCCCTCCCCCTGCCATGGGGGGGGGGGAAGTAGACACCTCCCCCTACCATGGGGGGGAAGTGGACACCCCCTCCCCCTGCCATGGGGGGGAAGTAGACACCTCCCCCTACCATGAGGGGGGGGTAGTGGACACCCGCTCCCCCTGCCATGGGGGGGGTAGTGGACACCCTTCCCCCATGGGAGGGGAAAGTCCTTAAGATCCCCCTGGGGTCATCTAGGGCACGGTATACATTTTTTTTTTTTCATTTTTTTTGAGATATATACAAGAGTTGTTACATTCCTGTACAGCCACTAGTAGGCGTAGCGTTTCGGGCAGGTCCCTGGAATACGATCCCCTGCCGCGAAGAATCGTTTTTTCATCCAAGTACACATTTTACTGTTGCGTTAAACAGAGGCTACAGTTAAGGAATTGCGCCCAGTAAATCCTCCCCGGCCAGGATACGAACCCATGACATAGCGCTCGCGGAACGCCAGGCGAGTGTCTTACCACTACACCACGGAGACATAACATAAGGATGTATTAAGGAACCCAACACTTGACCGGGCTTAGCTTAGTCTTGGGTTAACTTAACTAAGCCTCAGCTTTAAACTACCTGTAACGTAACTAAGGGATCACTATGGTCAGGGATCACCTTAGTTCTCTACAAGCTGAGGTTCAATTTAACTTAACATTATAATGAACTTTAACTTATAATGCTCTATCTGGGATTACAGCGTGACGTCATTGTTCACTGTAGTTACCTCAGTACATATGTGGACTTACCTCCCCTATGTGGACTCACCATTTTGTGCCTGCAGGATCGAGCTCTAGCTCTTGTATCCCGCATTTCTAGGCGCCAGTTGTCTAATACAATGACTCCTGGCGCATTTCCCTAACATGTCTACCCTTAAGGTTATGCATGGAATTTGCCTCCACAACCTGCTCCTTTAGTTCATTCCATTTTCCCACTACTCGTACAGATTACTGGGTCGTCTTCTACTGGTATTCACTGCGAACATGTCCTCTTTCCATTCTGTTAATACCGCTAAGAATTATGTCTCTGTCATGTCTCCCCGTCTCCTCCTTTCAAGCGTCGTCAGGTTTAGTTCCTTCAGTCTGTCTTCGTACCTCATGGAAGGTAGCTAATGTGGTACCAATTTTTAAGAAAGGAGATAGATCACTTGCGTCAAACTATCGGCCAATTAGCCTAACGTCTATTGTGGGAAAGTTACTTGAATTCAATAATTGCAAATACAATTCGTCTCCATCTTGAAAAACATAAATTAATAAATGAGTCGCAACATGGTTTTATAAATGGCCGTTCATGTTTAACAAATTTGCTAACTTTTTATTCCAGCATAGTTGAGGCAGTTGATAGTGGTAAGGATTGTGATGTTGTGTACCTTGACTTTAGCAAAGCTTTTGATACAGTGCCACATGAAAGACTGATTAAAAAAATAGAAGCTCATGGTATTGGGGGTGATATAATAACTTGGATTAGGGCATGGCTAT